AGCCAGTTTAAAGATAATTTTATTTTAAATGTAAAATTACCGACTTTTGATCAAATAGTGATTTTTTTAAATGATGTAATAAAAAATTAAATATTTTGTTGCATATGATTGCCGTTTTAAACCCATTTTGATGCGGAATTTCTATGACTGTGTCCAGTTCATTTTTAGAAAGTTTTACACTGTTTGAAGTGGTCTCAAATTTTCACGGTCCATGCGGATTTGTTGATTTTAGCTACAAATAGAGCAAAAATTTTTAATGTGGAACTTTCGGAACCCAACCTTTAATTTTATTAATATAATAAAATTTAATTACATATTGGAAGTAATCATTTAAGAAAAATTTAGTTTTATCTCAAAATAAATTTGGGAATGAGATTTTTACGACACCAAAATTTGTTTCACCCATTTTATTTTACAAGTTTGATAATCTCAGCATTATTTCCTCATTGAATTCAGTTATGTATTATTTAAATAATTTAAATTTTATGATTTTAACAAAAGTTTGTTTTTATAAATCTCAATTTCGTTACCCAGTCTGTGAAAGTCTAAACAATTTATTTTCATTCTTTATTCAATATAACTATAGTTCTTTGTCAAAACTTTTAGGCATTACGCCCAGCAGTGCTAAAGAGCTTTTCATCCGCGCCGCGTCAGATGAATTTTAATGCGACTGCTCATCTTCTTATTAACACACTAAGAATCAACGAGAGAGAGCGACGGAGGGTGAGTCCGTCCGGCGCCACTGGCTGCAGCTACATTTTATATTGCCCGATGAAATACATAATATAACAGCAGTCTGCAGCCATTTCCCTCTCTCTCTCCACCACTATAGCTGCCTTTTGTTTTGCACAGCGCACTAATCGGCTACGACATGCCGGAATATCCCCTATATTGCTGATGCTCGCGATGGGGATGCTGCGCGCGAAGAGGGGTGAAAATAAAGAGAATGCTGCGTTTCGCATCTAACTGGCCACCACCAACACTTCTCGATGTCTTAGTCACCGCAGGGAGTTACGTTTTTGTTTCCATCGTTGGGGTGCAAGTTGATCTGGTCTTTGGAAACATATTTTTATTCAATTGAATGTCAAAAAAATTCACCCGTTAAATTGAAACACAGAAGATATCTATATTAAAATAAGTAACGAATTCTTACATAAAATATTATTTTATCCCAAAAATTTGCAACCTAAAATCAAAAGCGAAAGGATTAAATTTGGTAAATTTTTGCAAGAATTATTAAATCTCAAGGAATAAGCAAATTTGGATGTTTCCCAAACCACTAATCATTCATAGAGTAGACTTAATTTGTAAAAATGTTACAATGTTCTAGGAAGCTTAAATTAATAATTGGATTAGGGTCTTCCATTTGCCCGCTTTTCCAGTATCACTGGCTCGAAACAAGGTTGGCAATGCGTCACCCAGCAGTTAGTATAACGCAGTGAACGCGCAGTATTGATCCTGATAAATGATGGATGTGGATAATTCTTGTGTACTCTCGCGGTGACAGTCTTGTGGGTGAACGAAAGTGAAGTGACACATGACACGGGCCCTGCATTGTTTCCTGACAGCCTGCCGGCGAGGCCCGATTGACCCGCTCTCTCGTCCTTTTTGTTTCAATTCCAGCGAAACGCTCTCGCCTGCCAATTGCCACCACCCCCATTTAATGCATTTTTCGAGTTTGCCCTGCCCTAATTTTTTTTTACAGAACCTGAATAATGCTCTATTGTTATAATAATTTTATTAACAATATAAGGTTTGGAAAAAAATAATTAATCTCCATAAATTTCTTCTGAAAATATTTCATGGCGTACGATTCTGTAAGAAGTTTTCCATGTTAAATAATATCTCTCATAGAATTAAAGATAAAATCCTAAACAATTTATGGATGAATAGCCAAATTATAATTCTACAGTCATCAAAAATTTGCTTTTATAATATAAGTGAATTAATCAATTAAAAATATCAGAACCTAACAGTTTAATTTGTTGAGGCCCAACACTAAAATATGCTATTGCCAGTGAGAGACTAGATTAAGGCACTCAGAGTTACCTGCTAGCTCTTGGTTTGTTTGCTGGAGAAAGGGCTACTCTGGAAAGAAGAGAGTGCGGGTGCGAAGAGAGTAGCTGCAGAGCCGCAAGAATTCCAAGTGCGGCTTTATTGCGGCTCATATTGGCTCGCCCGAGCACTTATCTCCGACCGTCCGTCTGTTTATTAAGTCTTGACGGAGCGAAAACGAGCCATTCGGTCCGAATTTATGGTGATCACACCCGTTCCGAAAGCACCGTTTGTTCTCGCGCAATTGTCAATTATTTCAGCCCCTGTCACGCGACTCATCGACCTGTTGACCTTTTTCTTATAAGAAACTCATTCCAAAATTATCGCTTATTGTTATAATTCGAAATAGAATTTGGTTATGGAATTATAAGTGAGATTTAAAAAAAATATATTTATGATGGAAAGAAGATAATATTGCTTATGCTTACTGTGGTGGATTGGTCCTTTTTATGGATAAAACAATTTTTGAGTTTTTATATAGATGTTGCTAAAACTCTGAGCATAATGAACTCATGTAATTCACTCAATTAATTAAGCACAAAATCCGAGTAACTCACTTTAATGCAGCAATTGGCATTCCGCGCAAATCACCCTTCGTGCTCGCAAAATAAAATTGCCATTAGCCTCTGCAACAGCTCCTGCATAATCTGCCTACACAGTGGGCGAGTCAAATAATAATTGATAACGTAAAACAAAATAACACTGGTCGGTTGGCATTTTCAAAACACTCGCTCAGCAAACAAGAGCAATTTCAATGCAAAAGAGGCAATGTAAAAGGTTTTGTATCTGAATGCATAAACTATCAGATAATTGCGAACAGCTGAAAACCAACAATATCTAAATTTTATTGTCTTTCTTTCTGCAATTGAAACAGTACCAATTTAGAACACATAATTATATTATGCTCAAAGCCACAATATGAAATTAATTTTTTTTTTTTTTTTTTAATTGAAGCGGAAAAGTTATGTAATAATTTAATTCGGTCGTTTCTTTTAAAAATATTTCTATGAAGTAATATTTTAAAGCTGACATTAAAAATTGGGTTAGTCATTCTTGTCAATTGTCATATAAAAAAAAATATATATTATTCAAATAGTTTTCTCTTTCATCAAACAATTTCTGATAATTGTTCCTATCAAGAACGCGAAATAAAAAGAAAAGGAAGAAAATAGAAATAAAAATCACTCTCTTGCGCGACATAAACACAAAAGTGAAATTAATTACTCTCGGGGCGAAAAAGCCCATCAAAGAAGAGGTGTGCTTTCATTTTCGCAGCGAGGGGAAAAAGTAAGAGAGGACGGCGGCGTTCCAGAGCGAAGGCAAACAATATAAAAAAGCGAGAGAGGAAGCCGAGAGGGACGAGAATTTATTTTTAATACCGTGCGCTGTTTGCTCAGAAGTGATTGCAATTTTCGCAGCTCCGGTGTTAAGTACGGCGGAGAGAGACAATAAAAAACAATAACAGCACGGCGCCGGGGATGAGATGTGACCTCGTTATTGTTGACGCCGCGCGCACCGACCTGTGATAACCATAAATCTTGCCCCAGATGCTCCGACCTAATCAAATAAGAAACCAGTTAAATGGCAGGCGTTTCCTTCCTAAATAAAGAGACACGCAACCAACCACGTTCCTGATCTTCTCAACTTAAATTGACGTAAAATAAATAAAAGTTTATTTATGAAAATTATTTTCTTTTTAAAGCCTTCCTTTAAAATCCTTCCACCTAATATTTATTAGGATTTTAGGTTGTTTTTCACGCGGATAATGACATTGCAAGCAAAAAGGTAAACAACAACTGAGAAGTTTTATATTAAAATATAATTACATATTTTTAAATTAATTTAGTTCTAAACTTGATGGCTACCTTCTCCCCATGGACATTCTACACAGAAACACCAAATCACGTCCGTTCGGTTTAATTTCGCGAGCCGCTTTCAGCGTGATCGCCGCACAGAAGCAATCAGTTAGCGGATTCAGACGAGCGTCACAGCCCCTGGAGGTTGTGCAGCGCCGTTTTACGCCGACGATAAAGGGTTAATAAAAAGGTGTTGCACACACGCGGCGTGAACGGGCTTTAATAAACCTTCTGCAGCAGGCGTGCATGCAGGCGCGGCGAGCCAATATTGACTACCAATAAAGGGACGTGACCCCGGACGGCAGGTAGAACGGCGAGAGCGCGCCTAGGTAATACCGGTCATTATTGACCAATCTGAGGCGCTTCCTCCGAATCTCTCGCCTCAATCCCCCGATTCGCAATATAACCAGCAGCTCCGACCGTCCGTACACATTACGCCGCAATCTGCTCAACTGATCGGTGGCTGTATTTGCTTCTGCGGTGGAACAAGCAACAAAGGCTCGGAATGATTATTTCGATTCGATAAAATATTACTGAAATTAGGAAAAATGTAGATGATTCTCTAATTGTACGAGCCATTATTTCTCTGATCAGATAAGTATTAAAATTATATAATTATAGTTTTAAATATTTTTGAATTTAACTTTCATTTAGAAATATACATAATAAATTCTTCGGAGCGTTATATTAATCATTGCAAGATATTCTTTATGAACCATTAGAAAATTTTGGTTTCCACTTTCCGAAAATTTAATTTTAACTCTAGAATTGAACTGTTTTGAACTTCTAGGTAAATAATATATGCTGAGTAAGGAGCATCCATTCTTAAACTCGCAATTCGGCCCAAAAATTTAAAACTTCAGAAATCCGAGTTCACCTTCCAGGAGCTTTTTGTCAAATCCAACAGCGCACTTGCACTTGTTGGGATTGTTGAGCTCCGAGAAGCCAACTTTGGTGATGAGTTGCAAATTTGACAAAACTGCAATTTAAAAAGTTCAAAATTCAAGAGCAGGATACTATTGTCAAAATAGTGGTCAAATGCAAAAGCCAATCAATCAACTCTCAAATATTTAAATTTTTTCCACTAACCTGAGCACAAAGGTTGGTTGTGATGAGGTGAGGGGGGTCTGCAATCAAGTGGAAAATGGTGGCCAGTCTCTTGAAGTTGAAATTTTTCCTTTGCATGCCGTGGTGATTGGCAAAGAGAGGCGCCGGTCGTGCTTGGGCGAGTTGAACACGAGGCCAGGAAGGGCAGGAAGGCGGTCATCAGCAGGAACTTGGCATGGTACGGCAGCTCCATCGCCGTCACTGCTGAGATCTCAGTGCGTTTGAACTCTTCACATCAACAGGTCTATACAGAATATTAAATATTACAACTCTCAATTAAAGTAGAAGTGAAATTGAAATTTTTCAACAGCTAAGGCGCAGGTGGACCCTCTGGATGGCCGCTTGCAGGTGCGGCTGCAGAGGGTGGTCCAGATTGTGCGCTGGTCGTTGCTTAGATCTTTAACCAGGACAAAGTGCTAGTCAGCCTGGATGTGCAGAACATGAACAAAATAAAATTATTGTTCTATGACATGTATCAGATAAAGTAATTTTCTTTTGTTTGTTGAATGTTGAACTAGAGGCTCTCCCTCCAGCCATAGCCAATAGCCAATCAGCGATTATCAGCGCGCGTGGCAAGTCTGGCGAGAGCGAGGGGCGCGCGGCGCGCTTGATTTGAAAACAGAAATCGTAAACAATTAACAGCTAAGCATGACGCATACAAAATAATTTCTCGAAAAGAAACCCATTTGTTTCGCTCGTCGGCGGCCGATCGCCGACTTTCCGTGAGTGAATACATAAATTCATTAATTAATGCTTGAAAGTAATTTAGATTTTTTACGCCGAATTAACCAAATTTTTTGTGAGAAAATAGAAAATATACATACATATTACGTGATACAAGCTGAGTCATGATGAGCGCACCTTTTTTTAGGTATGAGTACTATAAGTACTGATTTGTCTGCATTGCGCATTAATTTTAATTTTCGTGTCATTATAGGTCTCTTTAGAGCAAACATGGCATAAATATGGAGAGGAGAACAAGGTATGTATAATTGAACAGTTTTTTTTTGTTTCTTTCACCGTTTTGGCCTAAACTGGCGAAGCCCAAACCACATATTATATTTAGTTTTAGTTAGTGTTTTATTTATTTTAAAATCTCAATCACAATTAAGCATTAGGCGTTTTAAGTTAAGCCAATTAAGGGAATTACTAAATAATGTAGATTTTAGTTAATCAGCCACAAACCATCCATTAGCGCCTGCACTCCTCATAGCTGCTTTGTGGCAACTCTCGCCCGTCGTTTCGCCGCTTGTTCACTCTCGGTTGCTTGCCAGGGCGAATTATCGGAATGCGCCGGCGGCCCTTTTGGTTAGCCGTCTCGCGGATTAAAAGCAGCTGGCGTGCATCTTGATGGGCCCTCGAGGGGCGGCAAATGGCCCGGCCGCCCACTGACCGACCCGAGGAAAGGACCATTCTTTGCTGGCCCCATTCAGTCCCCAGAGTTTGCGTTCCAATCCATCACTCTCGTTTCCGCCGGCTCGCTGCTTTTCCACTCTGTGAGGGAGATGGAATAATAATTTTTCATTCCAAAACGCACGCTGATTTGTTTGTTTTCGTTTTTCCTGTCCAGAGAATGATTTTTGCCGGAGGTGGATTTTGGGATATGATTTATGAAGAGAGAGTGCGTGGAATATGCATCCGCTTGCTGTCCGGCTACTCGCACGAGGAATTATTTCAGCACCAAATTTTAATATAAATAATTAAACAAACATGACTTCCCGGGTTGTTGCTTTTTAAGGCTCAGAAGTACTAATTAAAATATTGATGCTGCCAACTCATTTGCGCCCTCGGAAAGACGTGCGCGAGCGCCTGTTATTGGCAAATGAGCAATCTAACTCAAATAAAGTCCCAGGGGCTCTTGTTTTCCATCAAACAACTGCCTCTGGTAAATATTTCATCGCCAAACAATACATTTACAAAGTTTCACTCGGTATATAGCTACGCCGACAGTTCTCTTTGGAGTTGCTTTTGGTGTTTTCTTCCAAGAGCGAGCGAGATGAGATACGGAGCGATGAGAATCCGTCTCATCATCGTACTGCGTAAATTATTCATTCATTTCCGTTCGCTGCGCACGCTCACGTTTAACTCGCAATACGGAATGGTAGTTTTATGCCACCACCGTGGATATTGGAAACTTTTAACTCCGATATTATTGAGAAAAGGAAAATATTTAAACAAGAAAAGGTGTGTGTTTACTCGGAACGGTTCATTAAAAGCATTCCTAATTAAATTGGTTGCCCACGGTTATTTATTAAAAATAGAGTAAATTGATTTTTTCAGAACACTAATTGTAATTTTTATTAAATGTTATAGAGACAAATTTGATGTTCGAGTTGCATTTTGCTCAAATCAAGCAGAGATTTGATCACAGCTCTAGTTAAAAATTTGTATGGAAAACAATTTTCCTTCTCTCGCAAGCCAAACAGAACTTCAGCATTTCAGTTTTTAGCTTCAGTTACTCTTTTAATCTTTTTGAAAATAAATTTTGACCTTTTAATACTCCAGCAAGTCCAGCATAATTAAATTTTATTCCCCGATTTTCAGGAATGTTCAAATTAAAGTCAAGACAGAAGAATTTAAAAAAAAAAATGCACATGTAATATTCTGCAACATCCGGCAAATATGAAAAATTTTAATTCCCTCCCTTGCACAAACTGACGTTGCTATCGGAGTGCGAGAAATTCCAGAAATACCTGCAGCAACTCGCACCTAACACAAAGTTAATTAAACTTAAAAAATATAAGAGGCAAGGATGGTGGAATCCGGAAAGGGCCCGAGAAGTTAATCAGGAGGCGAAAAAATTGCGTCGGTGGATGAAGAGCGGCTTGAGTGTTGATCCTCTTAAAAGAAAGTTGGCGGCTGTTTATCTGCGGCTTTCTCGTTTTCGTCACCTCTCGCGGGCGGCGGCGGCTCAACAGGTATTATTTCGTGTATTCTTAAACACCGGGGTGCGATAAGAGCACGTGGGTCGTTTCGGAGGGTGCGCGCGCCCCCACCGCCCGGATCGATTTCACCCTCGGAGGCTGAGCGTGTTGCGAGTCAGTCAGTCGACGGCCGACCACTCGTCCCTCCAGCAGCGGCCGCGACACGTGTCATGCCCGCCGAGAAGACGACATGAGCCGGCCGATGCTCCAGTGGTGCGTCGCCCTCGTGCTCCTCGCGGCCGCCACCCCCGCCCTTGGTGAGTCACCTTCCGACTTTCCCATTGCTGATGTATAAATTCTCTTTGCAAATCGCGCTTTTCCCAGTTTCGCTTTGCGGCGGGACTTTTTGTGGTATTGTTGCTAATCAGCTTATTTTCGCTTCAGTAATTGGCCTTGTATTTTGTATTTCTAAAAGTGCCCCCCTGGTTAACAATGGTTGCTAAGGAAAATTTTGCGTAGCGTGACTCTTGGATTTGAATGAGCGAAGTTTCTGCAAAAGCTCTTTATGTTTGGTTTCAGCATTTCCAGACTCAGTTAGACCCTTTGAAGTTGTGATAATGAATTTAAGCACAACGGCTGACAGTCTTATTTCGTGGTTTGCCTAGTCTTTCCACAAATCTGGTACTCATATTAAAGGAAATGAATTTTTACCGCGTCTTTTGTGTTTTCTATAAATTAAATATGCCATAAAAACTTTGTTTTCAAGGTTTCTTAAAGATTCAGGAGGGCTTTGATATATGCAAAACTGAAATTTACAGGAGAAAAATGTTACTTTAGGGGAAATTTTTGGTATAGGTTTGTATAAATTATATTATTAAATAATAGATCAATAATTAATGCACCAAGCTTTCACTGAAATACACATAGTTAATAAAATTTTAGAAACATCACTTGATAAAAATGTATTTTATGGAAAGTTGATAACTCTATTTAGTAAATGACGCAATTTAAAATTTATGAATGCATTCCCATTAAATCAGGCTCATTTATAATTTTAACTACTGCGCCTTCACTCTTGAAATCAATCAGTGAACTTTGACTAGCCGCTGGTCCAATCACTGCGGAACTGTTCGTTGGTGATAAAATATCCTCTATATACTGCGAGGCACAATGCACATTTTGCGCCACTTATCCACGACTGGTTCTCAATGAGTTATTAATTTGTACAGAATAATCTACCCTGCAGATGAATTATTCATTTTAGCCTTTCTTTCTCTCTCATTCAGCGCGAAAAATTTCCACTGCTCATACTATAACATAATAGACAGCTTGGACGCCATTCCCTTGCTTTTAGTTAGCAAAACCGGCTGCAGCTGCATCGAATACTTGTAATATATCAAACATATTGTAATCTTTTTCCGAAAAAAAAGCGAATTTTCTGCTCTAAAAAACGCGATGAAAAATTAAACTACAGAGTGTTGTTTTGCAAATTCCCTTTAAATTTACTGGTGTATGCATTAACTTAATAATTTCAAATAGTAATTACAATGTTTACATAAGCACTGCGTTGGATGTTAAACTCGGCGTGCAATAAAAAGCGCGGCAAAGTTTTAAAAGCACCCTCCACATATAAATTCCGCAGCATTCGCTGCATTAATTGCGGCTTAAACGTTGGTTCTCTCTCGTGTGTGCTCTCGGTACAAGCGGCCGGCAAGCTCTCGCGTGTGTGTTCATCGAAATTCAGTTTGGCCTGCTTTCGGCACATTATTATAACGTGTAATTCGAGCGGCGGCATCGCAAGTCATTTTTATTGTGTCGGCACTCAAAGCAGCCAGCCAACATCACAGAGAAGAACAAGTAGTTGCCGCTGCTTGTTGTCGGCCCGGAGGCACTTTCTGCGCGCCGGCGAAAAGACCTCTCCGTTCTACACCCCGTTCGCACAACACACACACATACTCGTGTGTTGGCAACTTGAGCCTCTTAATATTGCGAAACGCCAAACAAGCGTAAGCCCTTCCCTCTGCAGTTTACACTCAAAAATAGCTCATAAGTGTTTGCACTGAAAAGATTTTGTTACGAATGTACTTATACGTTTGTCGGCAGAATATTAACCGTTTATGATTTCATTCTGTTGAAGAAGATTTTATCAAGCATTGTCATAATAATAATATTAATATATGTACATGGAGAAATTTTTCATTGGATTTCTTTATCGCTAAAAATAATATACACAGCAATTTCTTAAAATTTTTCTAAACATATTTTTATTTCAGTGGATCACAAAAACAGTTGAAAATTGTCTAACTTTGCAGAATCCTTTTAATAAACACCAGGATAATCTAAAAAGGAAAAAAATCCAGATTTATTTATTTATTTATTATAATATTTAAATATTTAATGATTTAGTTTTCCACCGATTTATTTGCATTAAAATTTTATATGAATAAAGCTTACTGAGTTGAAGGAAATTCAGATTATTCCAGTTCTCGTGGGAGAATTCCCATTTCCCCAAAAGGAAACAGTTGGGTCAGGAGTGATTCTCGTTAGGTCGTTTATTAATTAATATGGCAAAAACAAGAGGGCCGATTTGATATTTTTAGCTGGATTAACGGGAGGGCGACCTCGTGCAAAAGGTCGCTTAATTCCGAGCGTCTGTTTGCTCAGCATTATATTCGGCACATTAAATTTTAGCATTTTCACGGGCCCGTGCACGCCGCCGCACCCGGGCAGTGGGGGATAAAATAGCGGCTAGGGCAATAAATATAATTCCCCGACGATAAATGCATTCAAAGAGCGGATCATCTTTTATTGCGCGACCTCTCACTCACTCACTCGATACACGAGTCTGCATGGATTTTATTGGGCTGATCATAACCGGTCTGCCTATTATTACTATTATCATCATCGTTAATATAAAAAGTAGCAATGCTGCGGAGCGGACGGACGGATGATCGCCGCGCCTGACTTTGTCCCCCGCTATCCGGCCGCGGCCTTTTTATTCGGTGGAGCTTTTTTGCAGCCGCAAAAAGGATGAGCAGGGACATCATTGCTCGTTAGAGAATTCCGGTTTTTAGAGTTCATACAGAAGCCCACGTGCACGAGAGCAAAAATTATTTTC